CTAGGCCGCTGAGGAAGGAAAACCAAGCCAGAACCCAAACCTTCTTACGTGCACACCACTTTCTCCCTCTTCTCATCACCCTCCACAATGGCTTCTGCCCAAACTGCTTTGCTCTGGTGCTCATGTTTTCTTCCTCCTGCAAGTGCACCTCCAGAAACAACCTGTCCATCCCAAGCGGTCTGTATCTCTGTCTTACTCATTTTTAAACATCCCTTTCTTTTGGCAAGACTGCCACCCCATTTTTTTTTGCCTCCAGCTTCTCATTTGCTGGCAGCTCTGTCCATTCTTTACAAACACAAGAAGAGCTGAGATTGATCATATTTTGACATGAAATTCTCTTTGTTCAGTAACATGCCCAAACCTGAATAAATGTCGGGGAAAAGAACTGTTTCACGTAATAATTATAGAAAATTCTCTTCCTGTAAAATCCTGTCACAAAGACAGAGATTGTTTGGATCCAGGAAGCGAGGTCAGGTTCAGACCCTAGGGAGAGTGGTGTATAGTGATAATAACACTTAGGATTTTTGCAGCATTCCTTATCCACAGATCTGAGCCCTGTCTCCAGTATATTACAACAGCAGGATATGTTATCTTATGCAAACTCCTTCCTAAATTTCACAATAGCTGAACCAAGCAGGAATCATTAAATTTGTGTGCTCTACTGCTATGAAGGCTGAAAAACAGCCATAGAGTTCCTTCTTTTCTTTGCTTTTATCTAAATAAACTACAATGTGGTCAGGGCAGAAGCACCGAACCTCTTCACTGTTTGCCAAGTACTGACATTACTTTTAATGGTGTACAAATACTAAAAATCATAAAAAGAATGGGAAAACAGAAATAGGTAACAGAACTCGCCTCCTTTAAGCAAATTACCGAACTGCAACCCCTACAAAATGCTCAGTTGCCGTTTTTACTACGTCTGGTTCAAAGGCCATTAAAAATGGGATTCTTTGCCCTGACATCAAAGGGCTTCAAATAGGGCTGTCTGTGACAGGAAGGGAGACAGGATTAACTTCAGCTTTCTGGCTATAGATCCCAAGCAAAAAGTAACAAATAATAATCAGAAGATAAGGTCTTCTTGCTTTCAGCACGTTTTTTCAAACATCAACTACCATCTATTGAGCTGCTTGCTTTGTGAGAATGATGCAGTACTCTGTTAGTGTTTGCAGCTTAATATGATCTGTTTTTTCAGTAACACTAAAGAACACTCTGATTAAGAATGAAGCAAGAGAGTGGGAAAAGAGATAGGAATGGTTTATAAATGTAATAAATAGATTGGTTGCTTTTACTTATTATCATATGTGTATTGATCAGGCTTTCCTCTTGGCTTGCTGTGAAGGTATCAATGCCAAAACATTCTCAACCGCTGCTGAAATCCTACCGTACCTTTTAAATACAGGCCTTATTACTAGAGTAAATATAGCCTAGAAGGTTTAGCTTTTAAAGTGGTTTCTCTCAGTAACCAACCTTATTTAAACACATCTGGAACTTCTTTGTAACTCATAACTATTTTGTGTAGTCACCTGTATGATGAAGGTCTAATGCTGTGGAATTACTGCTAGAAGCTGATTGCTACACAATCATGAGTGTATTTATAAAGTAGGGATACAAGGGGCAGAGAAGCACTAAACAAAACCAAGATTATGTTCCTAATTGAAATGGCAGTCCAGGGGTTTCAAATATAAAATACGGAATCTGAGCTTACTTTTCTTAACATCATCTGTTTCAGCTGCTCCACATTCCAGTACTCCCTCAGCCTTGACCTCATCTCTAAGATATATTCTCCCTTCAGTCAATTACAAGGTCTCAAATATACAATATTTACACCCAGCAACAGGGTAGATCTGCTGATTGTCTTCCTTAAGCTGCTTGGGTGGCCCTAAGAACCAGGAAGTGTCCTGGCACAGGGGAATTCTGATTGTATGGAGAGTGTAGCTGGCTTCTGCAGCACTCTGGGGCTGCTCCTACACGAGGGCAGGAAGGAGTGTGCTGGAGGTGGGAAGATTAGTAGGTATAAAGAGAAGGATTCACTTCACACATCTTGTCCAGGACTCTCAAGATTTTTGCAAAGTATCCATCTACCCTAGAGATACTGAAACTGAAACAGAAAAAAGAACCTACAAACCTGAAACAATTTTAAAGGAAAAACTGTAAAATAGTAGGAATTGGATCTCTTGGATTCCAATCTACGCCAGCTGCTTTAATAGCTGCTACTTTTATTTCATGTTTCAATGAAATTAAAGTACAATCGTTAAGTAGATTTACACAACATTTTGCATCACGTTGGCATCACCACCACTGATCGATACCCAGACATTACAGGCCCTGAAGTTTTAAAATCTATTTGTTGCTGTTTGCTTAACCAGCAGTCTTCTGAGTGCTCTATTTATTAAACAAATAGCTACCACATTAGGGAATATGTGACACAAACAACTTGATAATCAATGTAAATAAGAATCAGGCCCACAAGTATTAGCTCCTTTTAACGAGAGTCTTTTTCTTCCTGTAGAGCCTATGTTTCACCTTCTTTTGAAGCTTACACGATGTCATTTGACCAAACCCTTACCCTTCTTAATTTCTGAACCCTGATAGCTAATTTCAGAATATATTTTATTACTCCTTTTGTTTGCACAGCACTCAGTATCAGTGCTGATATGGTCTCCCTGGCTTTCCAGAGATTAAACAGCACGTGAAAGAAAAGCTAGTGCAATGGAGAAGAGGTCTCCAAAACTGCATTTTAAAAAGTAAACCAGTATTTTATAGGGAAATGTGGTTCAATCACAACACATGACCTTCTGTACCATAACAAATGTATGGTACAAAATATACGATAGTTACATACTTCTCATTTTAAACTTTTTGTTACTATGATTGTTTTACACCACTGTTAACAAAAAACAAAAAAAGTGAAATGAAGAAAATGAAATTCATGATCAGAATTCAGACTTATGGCATTTGTTACTTATCACACCAACAACATATAACCAGTACTTCTTACCCACTGCTGTGAAGGGTTCTCTTCAACAGTAGCTGCGCGATATATCTTTTTTTCCCTTTCAGGTAAGTTAAAATGCAATCATAAGCCTTATCAAAATTAATCCTGTGTCCAATCAAATCGGTGTGCAGTGTATAGAATGTCCTGATTCGAAAAAAATTCTGCTTATGTAAGATACAGAAATAAGTTCAAAGCCATTCTTTTTTTCAGAGATATTTTGTCATGATGATCTTAAGAGTCTTTACAAACTTAGTTGATTCTATGATTATATTCCTTCTCAAGACAGAAGCAGCTATAGACCTATGAAGCCTGTGACTCTGCTGAGGCTTGGGTACCAGCCCCCCAGTCCAACAAAGCAAATGACAGAAATACTCAGGTTCGTGCAGCTAATCATCCTCACAGATAACCAAGGGCTGAGTTTCCTCGGTCAGGTGTGAACTTCAATATGATGTTAAGTGTGAACTTCAATATGATGTTAAGTTCAGGAATCCCTATAGGATCTATTTCCAATCCAGTGTATTAGTTACGAGAACATTGGCGACTGCAGTGAAACTAAAATTCACAGAACTAAAATCCCCAAGATACTTTCACAGTCCTGTTTCAGTACTTGAATATTGACACCACCTGAGCAAATTACTTGCCGCTACATAAAGATGAACATCACGGGCTACAACCCTTAGAAATCTACTGAAATCTTGGCTCTTCTAAGTGGGTTTTGGAGATAGGGCATGACTAATGTTTCTGATGTTTCAACTTTGTAATACAAAAACTTGTCATTTGCACAAACTGTGCAAAACAAAAGCGATTTAAGTCTCCACAGAGAGCTGTGATCTCTGTAAAACTTGGGGAAAAGGAACTTTAAAGTTCTCACCCTGCCTTTAGTATCCTCTCACCCTGCCTTTAGTATCCATTATGTGTTCTTATTAGCTGGGAGTATGGTCACCTAAAGTTCTCCCACAAAACTCTCCATCTTCAGAAGCAGACAAAGGGCAAGGTTTGACAACCTGACAAAACATGACATCTTAATGAGGTTGGGGTTTTTTTTTTGTCAGTGTTGTTACTGAATAGTCTACACCAGAAGCTGGAACTGGGGGCAGGGCTGGAGAAGAATGTGGTGCAGTAGAGAACGGCGTTCCTCCTTCAGATAACATAACCCAAAAGATCCTGCAACCGGTTTTCTACTCACAAAACAGATTTCAGTGAACATGTCAAGTTGGCACATGATACATAAAAGCAATTTTGGCTGCAGCTCTTTCTGTTAGTACTGAAACTTTCTTAAATAAAAATTGTGCTTTGACTTAAAATATTCACAATTAAATTTGCTAATCTTTCTCCATGTGCTATCTATGATATTTGTCTCCTAGAACAGGATATATTATACATACTACTGTAAGAAAAGGTATAGCCAATTCCCTTAACCCTTGAACCCTTACCTATTATCACTCAACAGCTGATATGATAATACCAAAAGGGGCCACGTGCAGGAGTGTTTTCCTAGCACAAGTGTCAGATATTTCGCACAATATGAAATCTCTTTTTACCTTAAATTTTGCGCTGTAGCCATATTTCCCCGCAAAGAGGTGGTCAGAGTTAAACTGGGGGAAAACAAAGTATTGATAAATCAGTGACTTCATTTCACCTCGTAAACCCCTGGCAGACTCCGAGGAAAAAAGCCTCAAACAATTCCCAAACCCATAGCCCACATTTGAGTCAAAACTTTGCGGTTTTATCGCACAAGGAATCCTCTGTCCTGCTGGAATTACACGGGGAACAGCAGGATCAGCTTATTTAAACGTGACGAACCAAGATCAGGATTAGCAGTAACCGCTCCGGGGGGGGATGGGGGGGGATAGGGGGGATGGGATGTGCTGCTCCCCGGCCCTTTACCTGCCGGGTAGGGAGCGGGGGCCGGGCGGGCGCTGCTGCCCGCGGGAGGGGCAGGCGGCTCTCGGCGGGTGGGAGGCGTCTGCAGCTGGAAAACAGCAGCTCCGGTTTCTGATCGGTTTGGGGGTGGGGTGGGAGGTGTGTGTGGGAAAAGCCCAGCGATGGATCTTCCCTGCTTTTGACAACACTCTCCCCTTCAGGCCTGATCCTGCACTGGAGGGAAATAACTGCGAGGAGAACCACTAATCACACCTCCGTGTGGGAACTACCTCCGGTAGCAGCGTGTGCCGCCAGCCCTGCCTCCAACCTGCAGCGGTTGCTCCGGGACGGGCTCACTCGCCCCTGCAGTTCACCTTTGCCTGCACTTCACAAGAGTGCAATTTGGGTTTAATGGAGCTCAGTTTATTGTTCCTCTTTGGCCTTACAATTACGTCGACTGCAGGTAACGTGAATTTCTTTCTTTCTTTCTTTGCCACTTCCACGCATGCACACAAAGGCTGGGTTTTGGTTTTTTTTTTTACTTCTTCCAAAAGGCTGTGAGCAACAGCTCACTCCCGTGCGTGGTAAGTAGTAACCAGACGCCAAAGACATCGCTTGGCCGTATGTAGGTTTAAAACCAAACCACTGGCGATGCTCCCCGAGCCCGCGGGGCCGGGGTGAGTACAGACATAACGGTGCTTTTCGCAGCCCTGAACCCCCTCCGGCTGTAGCTGGCGGTTCGGGTCCCGTTACGGAGGGGGCTACAAGGCGCCTGGGGTAGGGGGGTTAGCTCTTGACGGGACGCGAGAACTGAGCCGAGCTGAGCTATTCTTTCCCGCGGTGCAGGGTCCGCGCTGCCCCGGCCCCACTCGCTGCCGTTACCGGTGGGCGCGGAGCCGCGCCCCGCGGCGCTGGGGCAGAAGGAGCGGGAGCAGAGCGAATCGGCGGCGCCGCCGGCCGGCGGCAGGGCCCGGGTGGACGGCGGGGGGCTGCGGACCCGAGCCCGGCGCTGCACTTGCTACACCTACAAGGACAAGGAGTGCGTCTACTACTGCCACCTCGACATCATCTGGATCAACACCCCCGAGTGAGTGAGTGAGTGAATGAGAGCGGCGGGACGCGAAATGGCGGGCTGGGCTGCCGGGGGCGCGACCCCCGCGGCGGCGGGAGGTTCCCCGCCCGCCCCGGGGACCCCCGTGGGAGGCGGAGCCACCGCACCCCAGGTAGCCCGGGCCGAGCCACCGGAGCGGAGAGGGGCTGGGGCGGCTCTGCCCGCCGGGCCTCCCGCTCCTCCCCGCCCCGACACCTGCCGGGCCCGCCGGGGGGAGCGGCGGCGAGCGGAACGGGCCGCCGGTAAGTGCCTCCGGCCCGGCTGCCTCCGGTCCCGTTCGCGGTACCTGCAGGGTACGCGGCGGTGCGCGGGTGCCTCAGCGTGCGCTGCGTGTGCAGGCGCGTGAGATCAGCCACGGGGGGAAAAGGACTTAACTGTGCAGAAGAAATCTGCTTCCAGCAAACCATTGACTGGGAAAGGAAGAATAGTTTGTGCCGTTCGAAATGAAGAAAATAATCTGGAAGTACCCTTTGTGATTAAAACAATTGTCGAAACCCTCAATCTACCAGATTTAAGATGTTGCAGAAGGCCCTCTTTTACAATAGTGTTTTGTGGCAATGGCAAGGAAGTTTTTTGTTTCAACTCATAATAAAAACAGTGTTGGAAACATAACACTTCCCAGGAGATGGAAATTGTGAGTTTCCCACGGGTTGGTGGGTGCAAGCACGGGCCCTGGCACTAGCATCATGAAAAGAAATAATTTCTTTTCTATGCCCACACTGTGCCTACAGTCTGAAGGATAGAGGCCTCCTTTTCCTGCACCCCCGGGTATATATATCCTGTCTCTGAGTAACTAAAACAGCCCTAAGGATTTGTAAAGGTTCTCATAGGCTGATAGGCCACAGGCCTACAGCAACCACAGCAGTCTGTTCATCAAAAAAGTAATCAGTGGAGCAGATGAATCTTCAAGAATTAAAGATCCGTAGGCTGTGTGACTGTAAACTTTGACACATGTCATCAAGTACACCACTGACTGCAGCTTGGGAACAGCTGTACTAACTCAGATCTGCGTTTCAATCAATTGCAAAGCTTTTAATTAAAATAACAAAAGGAATATTAAAAATAGAAAGTAGCAATGAAATAGGTTCAGTCAGATGGGGTTTAGGGCACTTAATTTGTAACTTCACCTGTGTGTCCTGGCTAGAGGCCATGTGTGATGACAAGTCTTTTGAACTCCTACCAACCTGTAAGTATCATGTGTTCACACAAGTCATTCAATTCTTGGAGTTCCATACCTGCACTAATCCACCCAGGATTACTTGGAATTATTTTAGCCAAATATTTATGACTCAGTATATTTAAGTCAGAGCTCACCAGTGAAAACAGGGGAATGACATTCCTTTCCCCCCTACACACTGAATAAATAGAATTCTGATAATTTTAAACACATACACACACCCCCCTCGTTCTTTTTAGGATATCCTGTTTTAAGTCTACAGAAATTACAATTTTCATTCCAGTGGGAAAAGTATTTAGTGTGCATTAAAAGTGGAGGATTTTTTCCTACCTGAAAGTTTGGTGCAAACATCACCAAAGAAAGAACAAAATTAAAGAGTAAAAATATATAACATTTTCATGATATCTACAGCATTAGCAATGAAGTACATACAATAATCCAAATATTAAACAGTTGGGGCTGTAAGTCTCTGCCTTCTTAACTGCTCGGTTGTACATAAAATAACAGCAGATCTCTCAGATCCGTAAAGTCTACCCCTGCTGTCCAGTGTATAGGTTAGCCTGTAATGACTTGATGTGAGGTCTAGGAAATTCTGATTATCCCACTTACATTTTGTGCCATGTTACTGGACATTTTTATGTAAGCTATAAAATATGTTCAATTTCAATATCCAATTTGAATATTAAGTATTCACATAGAACAACAGGTTTTGGGTACTGTGCTCCAAAGATGTGAACCTGTATAACTTAGCCACACTGTTTGAACTAGATTGATCAGGATGCTGGGGACCCAGTGGTTTTGGATAAGTAGTGGGTGGATGATGGTGGAAAGTAAGGGAATTGGTTTAGTAGGAACTGAATTCTCTTGGATGTGTCAGTGCTCATTAGAACTGGGCTGCTTTGCCTGTCCTGCTCCTCTCACTGATCATGAGACTTGGCTGCTCTGAGCCAGCAAGGTGAGCAATGAAAGGAAAGGCTCTGTGCAGGGCTGAAGGAGATACACAGGTCTCCCTCTAAGGTGAAAGAGTGCTGGCTTGATTTTCAAGGAATCTAGGATTTTCTTCCTAGGAATGCTTCTGTATATGAGAGCAGAGGCAGTCACTGAAATAAGTATGGATATTAGATATTTTGGACCGTGTTCAGTGCAACAGAGGCAGGACTAATAATTCCTGTCACACTTCTGAATGATCAGGCACTAATTGTGGCCTGGTGTCCTACTTGGAACAATGTTTCCTTAAGTAAGAAGGTACTTCTGGATGTGGATGAGAGAAATCAGGCCTGCTTGTGCAATTTAATATCCCAAGCAAGTTATGCTACTTCTTTTAAAAGGAAGTAACCACTGGATCTGTACAGACTGGCAGTTTGTAAATGGGGTTTTTACATGGCTATTGAAGGTTTGTATATTTACTAAAAATTTAGCTCAAATGTGATTTTGAGAACCATACACATAATGGGAGGCCAGACACAGGGTGTTAAAGACCGGGGAAGTTTTCCAGACATCTGTTAATTCTGGTTTTCTCCCTGCTTATTTAACTACCACATCTATTTTGGGTTTATTTTCTATATAAAACTCTACAATTACCTTTTATTACTTTTTATTTCTTATTTCCCCTGACTAATATCATTCACTTTATCATTTCTTACTCCTGTTACAAATTCCCTGTTATTTTCTGTTTCCAGGTTACTCTCCTCCATACTTCAAAGTCAAACTTTACTTTCTTGCATTCTTCCCCCTGCTTTTCCCAACAGAAGATACTGTTAAGCATTGTTGTGATACATCCATAACAAATCTCGGTCATGGCCTCTCTCTCCTCCTGTTCTAGAAAAGTGGTTAATGTTTTTATTGAAACTGCTGGAGGCAGAGTGATGACAGGGGATCTCTTCCTATCCTTGTGAAGAAACCACTTGGATCAGCAGGGTGACAGTTGCAGGAAAGCACAAAATTGCAGAATATGCAGGTTTTGACTCTCTGTAGCTATTGCCAGTTAAATGAGAAATCATCTCTACACAAGTTTGAGTACTGCTTTATAATTGTCCATGAACCACTGCTGTTAGTTCAGACCAGTAAGTGCACCAGTGTTACTCTGACATAGCTGGGAGCAGTGAGAGCCCTAAGTGGAAAAGACAATGACCTTAAGAAAGTCAGGTCAATCAGAGCAGAGTAATGCAATTATGCTGTGTAGACAAAGGTTGTGTAACAAAGCTAATTAAAAGCTGGTAAGTTGTTCTCACTGATAAGATGGATTATTCAGGAATTAGTTTGCAATGTATTTTTTTGTCAAGTGATTAAACATGCTTATCTTGATCTACAGCTAGACAGGTTTTAAAGAAAAAAGAATTAACAGTCTTTTAAAAAGTACCTACTGATGTAATACTGCCAAAACCTGATGCTTACTTCTCTAAGTTAAAGAAGAAAATACAGGCAAGATTTCTTTTAGATCTGCAGTTCTCCAAAAGGGTTCTGTATTTCAGTATGAACTGAACATGTGCATCCGACAATAAAATGTGGTTCAATCAATAACGTTAGTGTTGCCAAAGCAACACTAGAAGCTTCAGAGATGCACAGAATGATTAATAAGAGATTAAAAAGTAACAACTATTAGAAAATGATACTATCATGATAATACAATATTGGATACTCAAGCAGTCTTCAATTCTGAAACAAGTATAGTGAGAATTTATGGCAATAATCTGGACAGTTTCAAAGGGATATTAGCATAGATCCACAATGGTAAAATTACTTCCTGGCTCAGACTAGGTGCCAAAAATAATAATTTCTTGAAGTGTTAAATCAAAGGAGTTTATTTTCTGTATGATGTCTTATTTCAGTATTTGCCTCTATGTTCAAAAAAGGAGTAATGAATGGAAGAAATTATGTTATAAAGACCAGCTTACATGATGATCTAAAGAGTGTGCCAATTACATGAATTTCTGAATCAGGAGAATTGGATGGATAAAGTGAAAGGAAGAATTTGATCTAACACTGTGTTTGCAGCTCTGATCCCCTGTAGTGACACGTTCTGTTTCCTCTGTGGAAGGACAAGGGCATGCACACACTTTGCTCTGTGGGAATATATTGGTAGAGGATATGGTGAGCTAGCGGTCACCCTGGTGACACTACAAGGATGTGGTGTTTGTCACTTCAGTAAAGAAGGAATTTGTTTCTGTAACATATGCAAGTCAGATATTCCTTAGCACTAGGTTGGCTCCAGATAGTTTCCTCTGCAGAAATCTGTTTTCCTGACCTCATACGACCATATGTTGGGGAGAGAAAGGCTTTTCATACACTTTCATTCTTTTGGTCTTTCCTGAAAGTGATGACAGATGGGTTTGTTAGGGGTTCAGGACTTGTCAGAAGCTGAACAGACAACAGCAGCTGATTCCACATACAGTCAGTTCTCTTAACAGTTATCTTTGCTCATTAATGGGTTAGGTCACCAGGAGAAAGTCACCTTAGAATTAAAACAATTTGTGCCCTATGATTGCTTCACTCATAGTTTTGCTCATATATAGAAAGGAAATGATGTCTTGGGATGTTGTTACAAAAGAGGTGACTTAAGACAACCAGTTGGATGCTTGTTCTGACTGGTCTGCTGGCTAACTTCTCTTTCATAACCTTTTTGCTACCTGCATCTCACTGGTGATTGCATTTTGTTGAATGGAAGCCCACACAGAATCATGGAATGGTTTGGGTTGGAAAGGACCTTAAGATATCTAGTTCCAATCCCCTGCCATGGGCAGGGATGCCTCACTCAAGACCAAGGCTCTGTTCAGCCCAGGCCTGAACACTGCCAGGGATG